GTCAGACTAACAAGGGTCTTGGGATAATTCTTGTGACACTTGGTGAAGGAAACCAGTCTGGAAATATTAGAGGAGACAGAGTTTTGAACATACGCCACAGAAGGTCGCTGCTCTCAGATGACAGTGTGTTTGCAACGAGCAATTCTCAGAATTTCCTTTGGCACTGAACCAACTCAGGAAAAGAGGAAGATTTCATGTTCCCTGCCAGAACGCATCCCTGTAATAATGTGAGAATGAACGGTCTGACCCTAAATTATAAACAGCTCAGACTAGACTGTGGTCTGCTGCAGAAACTATCTTGAACTTTGAAAAGAGAAAGCTTGTGTGTGGTTATGTATATCTTTCTATGAGGTACAATGAAATAGTTGTCATTTTATTGTGCATTTAAGACAACGTGTCATTCTGAAAGCATCAATCTTCTCTTAAATGTACCTTGTGACTAAGAAGAAAATGCAGAAATCCACGTCTTCCTTAGAAAATAACTGGATTTTATATGTTCACCACTAAAAGAAGCAAGCTATACCAATAAACAATAGAGTATCAAACAATAGAAATCTTATGCAAGCATGCTGAGGCTATGTAATAAGTTATTCACTGGCCTTCATAACAAAACTTTAGATACAGTGATTTTGAAAATAAGTCTTTCATCAGTTTCCATTAATTTCCTCATTTTGGGGTTTTTGCTTCAATCCACTTGTGACATCTTTGACCCTGTTGAAGAGCTGAATGTTAACACAGGAGGCAGGAAACGTGAGTGTATTTAGGTGCAGCATCTTTGACTTTAGGATGGTTTTGTATTTGCGGTGGGGGAGCTTAGCCCAAAGACTAGAGGAGATTTAGCTGGAAGAGGAAACGTGTTTGTAAAGCACATTCCAACTAAGGGAAAGCTGAAGAAAAATGACCTCTTATCTCACAGTGGCTGCAGTTGTTTGCAGTGCATGGCAGTGCATACCTGGAGTTGTATATGCTGCCCTGGGGAATATATAGTGGAAGGCACTTCAGGTTTGAACTACTGCATTTAATTCCCAAAGCAGCCATTCCTCTCTCTCCCTAAAAATAATAAAGTGTGCAATTCCTGTGTTGCCATGAGGTATTTGTGGCCACACAGAGGAATAACATCCCAACCCAAAGACCTGAAAGGCTCCCTGATCCATTTCCTGCCTGAATGACTAGAGCATGGTGTAGTATTTCATGAATGAATGAATGAGAAAGTTTTAAACTTTTATACATGGCATGTGATATTGGATGGAGTTGAACTTGAAAAAAATATGCCTTGTAAGGACCAATGTTCAGGGAACCAGAACAAGCAGGGAAGTAAATGCTGAGCCATTTGATGGTGGTGGCAGTTTTTGAGTCAGGTGAAAAACAGTGAGAACAGAAGCTGTTTGTTCTGGTATGTTTGTTTGTAGGTCTGTCACGAGGTACTGAATTCTCAGCCCAGTGGAATGAGAAACTTGGTGGAATTCTTTTTATTTTTGTTGTTTATGGGAAGGTCATCTGCTTCTATGGTAGCAAGCAGTAAATAATGATATAAAGTGATTAAAGCGAGTGCTGCTGTTTCTGGCATGTGGTTGGAAGGTTTTATTCTTTGTTCTGAGTCATTTTATTCTTTGTTTCTGAGTGAAAAACATGGTTGTGTTGAATTGAAAAATAGATTTTTGATTCTAAAGTTGCCCATTAGTGAGTTTAGGGTTGTGGTTTGCTGAGGCTTACTCCGAGGGGCTTTTTTCACATAAACTGACTTTTACATCCTGTTTGCATACACTGTCTGGTTACTCCCCTCTGATCAAACAGTGTCTGTAAGGCACTTCTCAGAAAACTGAACAGTGGGCCTAGCAAGAGATTTCACAGATACCAATAGTTCTGAAAATTTTTTAGCTAGTGTGATTGTTAACAGAGAGGAGCATGGCCAGAGAAATGAGGAACATATCAAGTATGTCCCAGAACCATTTAGAAAGTTGCTGTTTTTTAATTAGTTTACAAATTAAAATAAACATTTCATAGTATTTGAAAGAAAGGACTTTCCTATTTTGCATAACAGCCTAAGACCACTCATTCTTTTTCCCACAGAAAAGAACATGTATTAATTTAAAAAATTTTAGCAGAAGGTAACTATTCAGGCAGCAAGCTGCATGTCTTGCACATATATGTGCTGAGAAAGAAGAAGAATGTATGTTTCCACCTTCCTCCAAATCCTCGGGCCAGGTACAAAATCTGCACACTACTGTCCAGCAAGAAAGCTGTACTGACTATTTCAGATTACTGCTTCCTTTCAGTCAGTGGAGCATAGTTATAAAATAATGCCACAGCAGTTCTTGTTGGAGTACCTCCTATGCTGAGCTCTCGTGGAGCTACAGCTCACCTGAGTTCCTTCTTAGTTCCAGCATGACCATCCACCTGCACACAAGAATTGGTGCATCTTTCATTTCAAGAAAGAAAGAACAGAAAAGAGGATTCATATTTCTCTACTATTATGCATCATTACTTCCTTTAGTGAAGTGTTGGAATTAAGCACATAAATCAGAAGGCATAATCTATGCTCCTTTAGCAATGCTGTGTGAACTGGTAAAGAGGTAGTATGGTATTGCAAATGCCTTTTTATGTTTTCTTTATGCATAATATATTGAATAATTGCCATTATTACCCCAAACAAGTTTATGTTCTCCTTATCATATGAACATGTTTTGGGATCTCTTGTAGTTGGGATTTCTCATCACTCTTACTGTTACATTTTTATATAATATCCTAAGCAGAACCACAGACCTGGAGCAGACTGAAATGTAATGGATTCTGTGTCTACACACAAAATTGGCACTGATGAAAAAGCAGTTCTTAAAGTATCAGGTGGGGTACTTGATTGAATCCAAGAAAAAATGGAACTTTAATATTTCACATGAGGATGTTTTTCTGCAAGTATATTCCTTTCTGTCCACAAACAAGTGACCAAACACTAGAGAGCTGGCAGACAGAGATTCCATGGAGGTTTGGCACATTCTTTCAGGCGCTGTACAGTTTGCCTTTGGGGAATACACCAGTACATTATCCTGTACTGGAGCTCCTACTTTACTCCTTCCAGGACTCTACAGCTCCTGCTCAAGCACACCTGTGCTCCACAGAGGTTTATTCCAGGATAGTTCAGGTGGTGTTCTTACTGCAGTCTCCTTAGGACTTCCATAGAGGACTGAATTTTTGTTTGTGCTCAAAAAACTCATGAGTGTCCCATAGCTCAACCTACCAGCCCCCATCCCTGCTGGAACTTCCCACTCCTGTGATTGTGCTGACTTGCTGACTATTGGCAGATTTCAAGGGGCCAGGAATTCCCCACATTCCCCCCAGATTTGTTGTTCTCCAAAGATGTTTCTTGAACCCCTACATGCCTGAAGCTCAGACCTTTTTTGATAGATTAAAATAAAACTCATTCTGCCATAAAATGTCATGAGTTTAAATTTCTCAGCTACAGAGGCTGAGATGCTTCCTCACCCAGGCTGGATAATTCTTACTGAGAAGACCTAAACCTTGTCTTTTTTTTTCCTTAACAGGAATACTAGTATTTTTCTCCATGTGTGTTTTAGATACACCATCTGTGGAGAACAGCAATGTGTTTATCATCAACAGTGAAAATACTGACCTGGAAAGGACTTTTTTTTTTCTTTTCAACATATGCATTGATATGGATATAAGGAAAGCAAATACCCCACAGCTGCTCCGCCTGCAGGGCTTTTCTGAATAGCAGAGTGGATCAAAGGATGTTTCTATTTCCTTGGGAAGAGGAAAAATTCATCACTTTATAAATCACAGCATAAACAAATCAAATCAGTACCAGGAGCTTTTTAATAATAATGCATTTCTTATGGCTATTCTCAGTAAAGGTCTCAGCAGTGGATGCTGCACACAGCTAAGAAGAATGAAATAAAACCTACCCCTGACACTGGTTTTCATTTAGCATTAAGGAATTAACTGGAGTATGAGACTGTAACATCCCAAGCACTGAAGTGTTTAAAATCTGAGAACTAAGTCTGTACTTTATAGCTTCAGTTCATCTGAACTGTGAAATGGTATTATAAAATCATTTTTTCCTTTCTCCAGAATTCCAGAACATGGGTAGTTTTATTTTTCTCATCTGTTGTGTGCTGTGGCTGGGTCGTTGATGCACTTTGTTGAGTTGTTAGCAACACGTCCTGAGTGTCTCCTGTAAGAGTATCACGATTTAAACACCTTTTTTGGTTGATGAATAAAGGAGAAGCTCTCCCTCACCTTCTGTGGAATGTGTTGGCCTCTATCCTGATGAATGTTACTGTAAGGTGCAATCATTTATTTTTACTGTGTTGAGAGACTTTCGGAGTCGTTATATGATCTCGTTACAAGCCAGTAAATTGGGATTGTATATCAGGGGATGAAAGTTAGTCCTGAGATCACTAAATAACACATACTTTCAATAGAGCTTTAAAAAATTCTGGCCCATGAATTTTGTGATTAGAACTAGATCATCTATTAACAAGTCAGTGCATGACTAGGGAATAGATCCAAGTACTTCCTAAAATGGAGAATGCTTGGCGAGGTACAACAGTGAGCAGTAAACAGGGTATAAAAAGCTTTGAATAGTAGAGAAAAGGATTAAGAAAAAGAGAAAGTTTTGTATTACCTCAGAAAGAACTGAGTCATGCAGTTGCTTGGTGCAAACATGAAGTTATTAGCAAGGGAAAAAACACATCACAATATTTTTTTTGTCCTGTCTTTAGATGTTAGGCCTCCAAGAATAAAACCAAATATATGTGTATGGGTATTTCTTTGTTTTCAGTTTTTCTTTACTAGCATTACATGCCTAGACATAGTGTGATAGAGAATGCTATTTTTTATTGTTTACTAATAATTAATAATGTCATGCTGCCACTACCTTGACTCTTTCATATACACAGATTGCATTGCTTGGATATCCAGGTATACAACTGCAGTGTTTTCACTTCAAGTGTTACCTTTTCTTTTCCTTTCTCTTTTTCCAGGTTGACTTTGAACAACTCCAGGAAAACTTGTGTCAGATGGAAAGACGGTGCAAAGCATCATGGGATCACCTTAAGGCTATAGCAAAGCATGAAATGAAGCCAAGTCTAAAGCAAAAAATGTCTGAGTTCCTTAAAGACTGTGCAGAAAGAATCATAATCCTGAAGATTGTTCATAGAAGAATAATTAACAGGTACAGAATTATATTGGTGACAGCAATACCTTGATAGTAAATGACTTGATAAAAGTAAAAGTTATGACCTCATAAAGATATGTGTTTTGTAAGTGTTTAATGCCCATTCCTGCAGGGAATGTTGCTGAGTTGTGTGTGGTGCATATTTTGTTATAGTCTCCATTTAAGAAACACCCCCACTCCAGAAATTTCTATATTTTTGATTTTAAAAAAGCAATCATCCAGGCAATCATTTATTTCCAAGGTGTAATAACTGTGTCTTTTTCCTCCTAGTCCCCAAAAGCTAGCAGCTTTAGAGTTAAGTTGATAGATTTTCTGTTTATCCCTGGAATTTTTTTAAGGAGACTTGACTTACTGTCTGATAAACAAGAACAGACTGTAGCAAAAAAATATTGTTTTCTTGACAAATTCATCATATGCAGAAGCTGAAATCAGTCTTGTACAATGAGTTCTTTTGTAGGCAGAACCAATCCTATTTGCAAGATCTTCGACTACGTGTTTTATGCTTATACCAGCTGAAGACAGATTTAGGATTCCTCTCCCTAGGATTTGCAGTTGAGTTTAATGAAACTGTGAGAGGTTTTCCAACTTCTGGATAATTTCCAAATTGCTGTGGTCAAAATTAAGAACTGGATTCCACATTATCCCACATTTGTGGGTATACACTTGAGAAGTTGATTCAGTTCTTCTTTCATTTTTGTAATGACTTAGGGTTTATGCCACAAGTAAGCAGAAATCCCAATTGCAATGGAAGGGAAGTGAATTCATTAGTTTCCTGTTGTGTTTATCATATGCATTGTGCAAGTAAAAAAAATATCAACTTTCTCCTCTGATATTCTGAAATGGCTATGATAGTTTTTAAAAATGTTTTTATATACTTGCATCTTTCTAAGATTGGGAAGACTTTTTGTCCTCAGGGATGTAGATGCAGTTAAAAGGAATTCCCATTTTTACACATTCAGTGTGCTGCTGTAAATCATGCAATATAGAAGCAATAGCAAAAACTGCAAATAGTGCAAAAGCTCTGAATGCCACAGAAGCAGTAAAACTGTGAATTGAGAGTGTCCCAAACTAATGTACTTGGTAGATAATATAATTTTATGGTCAGTTTTGTGAACCAGAAGTTCTTTCCTTCTTGTGTTTGCTAGCCTGTAAATCTGCATTCTTCTTGTCTAGACTTTGCCCAAAGTCCTAACAGCCTCTTTGAAGTTGCTCAATACAAATAAATAGAATTGAAACTTAATAAATATTTTTTTCTACAGAAATTAAATTGGTCATTCACGTGCTAAATTAGTCATATAAAGTGATGGAGTTCCATAAATATTTTATCTCCTGCATCAGCCTGGGAAAGTAGACTAGGATGAAGTTATTATAGGCTAGACTTTCATGGTTTTAATTATAAAACATACCAATGTTATGCAAAGCATCCATGAAAATTCTGTAGCACAAAGGAAATGATGGGAGCTAGTAATGTAATAAATGGACTCAGTGAAATATAGCGTTGTTGTTTTTTTTCCAAGAGATCATCAATAAAGATTTTTTCCCTCTACATCTAACTCATTTTTTTTCCAGATTTCACTCATTTTTGTTATTTATGGGCCATCCTCCCTACGCGATACGTGAAGTCAACATCAATAAGTTCTGCAAGATTATCAGTGAGTTTGCTCTGGAGTACCGCACCACCAGGGAACGAGTCCTGCAGCAAAAACAGAAACGGGCTAACCACAGGGAAAGGAACAAGACCAGAGGAAAAATGATAACAGATGTAAGTGGCAAATGGTATCTCCCATAGCATGGATTTTTAAAACTTTCTTTCATTGCATGTGGTATATGAAGTATTGTTATTCCATTTTTAATTTTAGGGGTCCTTGTGCTGTAAGTAATGAATTCTCCTCTATTAGAAGACAAAACTTGCAATCCCTTGATTGTGTATAATTTCTGCTTCATAAAAATGTATAGGACAAGAACAAACTGAAATTAATTATCCAAAAAGAGCTTCTCTGTGTGCTGCACAGACAGTGTCCAGAATATCTAGAAGACATCAGGAGCCGTGTGTATCTGACCAGGCAAGAATATGAAAAAAAAAAATAAACTAGAAATTATAGTCCTAACAGAGAACATAATTTAAATGATGACTCATTGTAGCTATTTAAGTGATTGCAACCAAATTTTAATGGATTTTTTTCTCCATCTTACAATATTCTAGTAGTCTTGAGCCTTAACATTTTATTTTTTTTTTATGTCTGTGTGTATATATATATATATATGGACATACACATGTATTTCATATGCATTTTTTTCTTAACTTTAAGCACAGACCAGCCAATTTTATGGTAATAGACTGCTTTGGGATTCTGAAAGGATGGACAAATTTATGTCCCCAGTAGATGTTACTCTGTAAATTTTTTGACTGTAAGATTGCATACTCATAGAATAAATTAAAATAAGATTAGTTTTCTTAGCATAATAGGTTTTAAAATCCTCTTTTTATATTTTTTCTATCTTTTGTTTTTTAAGTTGTAGTTTGACTCAATCCAAATAGAGTTTTAAGAAGTGCCAGTACTTAATAAAAGTTTCCAGCTGTCTCAAAATCCAGATCTGGAGTCTCGATTAAATGCAAGTGTTTCATTGCATATGAAGCTGCCCCTGCCTTTGGCATGAAAAGCTCGAAGCTGATTACAGTTTTATGACTCAGGCAACATGGGTCAATATAAATATATAAATACATATATATGTATTGGGACTGACATCAATTGAGATTGTATTTAGGTCATTGACTCAAAATCATTTGTAGATCTTTCCTGGCAATATCCTCTTTACATTTGGAAATCTTCCCCATCTCAAGAAAATATTAAACCTGCATTGTTATCAAAGGATTTATTTTCTGTTGGTCTAGTCTCAGGTTTAGACAGAGGTTCTGATTTTATACAAAGGGTGTAATATAGTCATACAAATTTACAAAAGTACCACTAGAGAAGTGAAATCACTTTCTGCAATTGCTTCTTGGTTTTCCTGATGTGTTTTAAAGGAGACAAAAGACAGTTTTAACGGAAGCGTTTTATAAATTAAAATTTTCATTCCCTCACATAGCCTTGACACTTTTTACTAGTTTACGCAAGACAGAGATGTAAAGGAATTACTGTTTTCCTACTGTGTTCCTACCATATAATGTAGTGTTTATGTATTATCTGTCCAGAATAACTGCTGTGGCAGGACAAAAAGCTGCAGAAAATGTGAGAGGGAAAGGAGTTCTGGTCACTGGCAGCTGGCTTCAGGAATCAGAGAAATGGGACCCTTTCAAACCTCAAAAAGTATCAGGCTTGACAGTGAGTCAGCAAGGGGCAGAACTAGGGGCAAAGGCCTGAAAATGGAGGGAAGGAGGCATCAAGGCCTTTCCCAGAACAAAAGTATTATTGGAGGAAGATCTCTTGTTAAGCTCAAGATTCTGTTGAGATTTGGCAAGAATTAAATGCCATCTGACAGTTAGTGTTAGACCAAGAAATATCTTACAGATCTTTAAAAAGGGAGTGTATTTTGCCTATCACTAATTTATAATTATAGAACAGTCCTATTAGCTTGAAACCAAAAAGCCTGCATGAGTAAAAACCAACAGTCTTTAAAACTGCCCTTACAGGAATATTCCTTTAAGGGAGTTATTAATGTAGCCACATGGTTATTTCAGAACATAGCTAAATCTCTTTGAGTATAGCCCTGTAATATGGCCTCATTTACCTTTTATTTGAACTGTACTATATGGTAAAACTGAATTGAAGTTGCATCAGACTATTTGTCACGGCTTTCTCTGACAACTTCAAAGTTATATCTACCTCAGAACAAGTTTCCAAGTCAGCAGGATGGAAGATATTTATGTGTGAAGAATTATGAAAACGTGGAATTTTATTGTAGTTTTGTTTTGGCTGTGGTTTGTATCTGGTCTTGATTTTCTTAGTGTTTTATTTTGGAAGGCTTGGAAAGGGGAGATGGATCAGTAATGCATTGACAATGATTCACTAGTTACAAAATACTGATAGAAGAAAGTTGAGATCTTGACATTGGAAAGAAATTCTTTGTGGAAAGTGATTATAATATGCAGTAGTCATATGTAATTTTAATTTCTGCTTTTGATGACTTAAAAGTATTGTACAGTTATTTGAAATTTACCTCCCTGTCCTTTTGAAAGTTTCCTCAGGGTCTCATTTTTATCACCTCACAGTACACTGCTTTTAGGCAGATGAGGAGGGATTCTAACAAGAGCAGGAAAGGAATAAGCCAGAACCAGCCCAGTTCTTAAGGAGAAGGGCTGTTATCTCTCAAACCTTGTCCGCCCTGCAGACTTGGAAGGCAGAGGGTGCTGGCTTGTTGCATGGAGAGTCTGCTGGCTCTTGACATGGAGAACTTGCATCAACTTCAGCAACTGCTCACATGGAGAAGGGCTCAGGAGCACAATGGGGAACATTTCCAGTCTTTCCTTCAGCCTTTTACCACGGGTGTCTTTGTGTTTAGATGTTCTTTAATAGCTGAAGTGGACTGGGCACTGTCAGTTTAAATCTTGGTGAATGTTGTCTGGAGGAGATGGGTAAGAAAAAAAAAAAAAAAAAGAAGTTTTTTGCCACAGTTTCACATAGAAAATTGCCTAGTCTCTGTAACCTTATATCTGGCTTTAGCCAATGATGGCACTAATTTCAGGCACTCTAAAAATAACAAGCAAGCAAAATTGGGAAAAAATGCAATTATAGATACAAGTCTCGGCTTTTAAATGATTATTAATAATAGTAGGTAATATAAGCATCTGTCTCCCAGATTTATGAAGCTCTGCTTTTCATGATACTTAAGAGTTTCAATTCCAAAATTGCTATGTAATAGACATAATATTTTGAAACAGCAAATCCACTGCACAGAAATGCTAGCCTAAAGGAAAAATGTGACGGCAGGAAGAAGAGAAGGAGAGAGATCTCAAACTGTCCTGCAGCATACAATATTGAATGACAGAAGAATCAAATGGCCTTTTTTCCTTCAAATTAACATCTTGTGTCTGCAAGTGGTATTCAGTATACCAATATTCTTTCACTGCTTTTTGATAATATTACACGTTAAAAAAATCCTTATTTATTGCTATTTCTCAATGGTTTTTATAATGATGAAATAAAGATGTAAATATGAGACAGAATGTACACACCACGGTGAGGGGCAGATTCCCTTGTGAAACATTAGGTTGATTTATTTATTTTGCTACTTTTACTTTTGTTGTCAGTATATGCTAGAGGCAAATGCCTTTTCAGACATGGGAATATGAAAGGAATGGTGAACTATTCCTCCTGTGCACTGGAGTAGCTTTGGGTGTAGGAAAGTGGTTCTCTTTGGGTGTAGGAGTGAGTGCTCTCCATGTGGAGCAGGAGGCAGAGAAATGGTAATGCCCAGGTACTGGAGATGAGCAAAATCAAGCAAAGACGTGCCCTTAAAGTGAGTCCACAGCAAATCACTCCTAGCTAGATTAAATGGGACTGGAAGGCCAGCAGCTGAGCCTTTACTCTGTAAAAAGCTAGCTTGATACAAAGTAATACTAGAAATACACTTTTGTTTGGAGCACAGTCTTGTAATGTGTGTTCTCTAATACTTTACCTTGCCCTGACTGCCTTTTTGTATTGTTTAGGTTAATTTACTCTTTTTCTGCCCTTTACTTATTGGCTGAATGTACAGAATGATGCATTAGATCAGATAGATAGATAGATATAGATGATAGAATACTAGACTGTTTATATTGCCTATTCTTCTTTCTGTTTCTTACTCATGACAAAAAGTGAACCGTGGTCCACTTCAGAAAAATTGCTTTTTATAGGGTGTGTCCCGGCCCCCCAGGGCACAGAAAAAATGCAGACAAATGTAATGCAAAGGGAACATACCTGCTATGGTCCCTCTGCAAAACACACTGCCTGTGTTTCTGTCAGTACCACTGTGTCCAAATTAGAATAAGCATCTCACTCTTTGCATAAAACATACCCTTAAAAAGTAATGTTAATGTGGTGCTCAGCAGTCACAGCTAATCTTCTTATGGAGATTGTGCTGAAACTAAACTGAGGGCCAAAGTAAATCAGGCTTTCATATTTAATGATGAATGTTTCTGGAACAGAATGTATCAATCCCAGACAGAAATCAGAACTGAGATGGAGATAAGGCCAAAAATGTGTATTAGTAACACAAGGGAGAGGAATACTATTGGTGGAATGCTTCTTCTAAAAAAAAGCAAACCCCACAAATTAAAAAAAGTGCATAAAATTTCTGGACTATGTTTTCATTTTATAAACAATCAAACTGAAAATTATGGAAACAGGGAGCCCAGATACTTGAGAAGCCATGTTTTACTTTGGAAAACTTCCATGTGGGGTATCTTCTAGCCCAGTGAAGAATTCCCAAGACATTTGGAAATACAGATCTAAATAGTTTGCTAATTCCCTGTAAATCCCCAAATTTAAGAGTACTCCATACCCCACAATATTTGTATGTCTGTTGCATTTAATGTAGTGCAACTGTCAAGATAGTTTTAGGTGCCTGCTGTCACAGAGGGTGAAGGCCCTGAATAACAATGGATAATTGCAACTCTGATTTCCGGGATCAGGTATCAGGCAGCTACTGGAGAACTTTAAGCATTTATTGAAAGACTACCCAGCATTTGATTTGAGTACTCTGTTGAATTGGAAGTTGAAAAAACCCTAGCTGAAAAAAGGAATTAAAACAAACACTTAAGTGTAGAGAAAAGGAATTGCCAAGAAGTTGACCTCTGCACTGAGAGGAACAGCAGCCAGGACCTCCCTGTGCTGCACAGAGCTGGAAGAAGGAGAAGGAGCCCTACCTAGTGTTGTCAGCTTCCATGGGGCAGACAACCTCATGACTCAAGGGAGAGAAATGGGATGGGTTAAGGGCAGTTTCAGTTCACCTTTTTAGTAAGGAAAATCAGGAAATTTCTACATACAGTACTGGCAGGGACAGAAAAAAAAAAAAAAAAGAGAAAGAAAACCAAGCTGATTGTCTAAGGCATGAAAATGAGCTCCTTATATGTCTTCTATTTTTATGTCCTCTGATTGCATAAACAGTACCATGGTTACCTCTTACTCTGTCATGGCTTGACAGTGCTGTCTTTCCTAAATCTTGCTGTTTGTCCTTCTCCACCTTGTCCTTTGTTTCCAGTGGCAGACCGATGAAGAAGAGGATGTTGAGGTATGGTTCTCTGAAAAAGCATGTCATCTCATGTCTCCTGTGTGCTGTGACATCTAATTCCTAACTCAGTATGGACTGCTCAACTCCATCTGCTCAACTGGAACTATGAACCATGACATACTTCTCATACCTTTTTGTCTCAATCATAAGAATAAATTTTTACAGTCAGCTTTAACCATATGCATTCCTGTCCTCTTGAATAAGGAAATCCTTATCTGAGGCCTGAATAATTTTAAGTTTCCTCATTTCTTTATCTTACTGTCTGTAATGTACTGCAAAGTCTCCCCATTATCCAAACCATCAGTGATCTAAATGTTACGGATATCATAAGTTACCTTGGGCTATGGATTACCAGGATAACTTCATACTCCTTAAGCTGTGTAACCCCATATGGTATTCTTTTATAAAGTTTTCAAAAGCATCAGGATATGGGGATGTTAAGCAAATCCTAACTGTTTGCCTTGTTGTGTAAATAGAGAATGAGACACTACATTCATCATAGAGGTGAGCCATGGAGTATTTCATGTATCTATCATAAAGTGCTCCTGAAGGGGATGTTGTAGCTATATTCATAATAAAAGTTTATTGATTTGAGGAGCATCTTTTTTGTAATGCATTTTTTGTTCAGCATTAGAGGTTTCTTCAATTTGCTGAACATAAACAATGTGTCTTAATGCTGTTTCATAGTGGTGGTCATTTTCCCACCAGGCTGGGGTTTGAGCAGCAATTTATGGCAACATCAAAAATTAAGAAAATGAAATAAAACTTTTGGCTCTAGAGCTTTGCCCCCCAGTCATGGTTTGTGCTGTATAGCTTAGGGCATGGAAAGAAAATTACATTAATTTGCCTGTTTATGCCAACATGTAACTAATCTGTGTGAACAGGAGCTAACAGTTATGTGGAGGCTTTATCCTTTGGAATTTTTTGGAAATTGTATTGATTACTGAACAACCCACTTTGTAAAAGAGAGTAGTCTTAATGTGAAAACGGCATGTCCTTTCATAGGAGTTTTTCTCTAATATTTTTCTGTCTCTTAATTTCACATGTGAAACTCTAGCACTTGCATACTTTTCACATCAAAATGTTTCAAGATAATCTTTTAACAAGAAAACAAACTTCTAGCTATCAAAATAGGTCTTTTACTGATATATTTAGCTCACTGCCTTGTAGGGATTATTGTTTTGCTACTCAGTTAACTTGCTATCTTACCCCAAAAAGTCACTGTGTTAAAATAGAATCATCTTATCATTGGTTTCCGGATTAAACTTTTTCAATTTGCAGTCTTGAGATGGGGACTTGATCAAAGCTCTGAAAGTAGGGCTCAGTCTTTTCTTTCAATTTACCACTCTGTGACAAAGAGCTTTGCAGGTTTGCATCCCTTTAACTAACTGGCCTGATATCATCAAGTGAATAATTAATGTTGTTTATTATGCAAAGGAAGAAGAGAATGCAGCACTTGTCCTTTCATCTGTGCTGAATTAGAGTAAGAAAGATTAAAAGGAATAATAAAACATACTTCTGTGTCTGATGCTGGGCTGATATGAGTGAGAGTACTGAGGTTTATTATTATCTGTTGATGCCTGTTTGCTGTCAACAGGGTCGGTATTTCCTGCAGTCAGGGCTGTATTTCGAGGGTGCTTTGACCTTTCTGTAGATAAGAGCACAGTGGTGAATACCAGCATCCAAGTCCTTTGGAGGCAGAGTCTGGGAAGGAAGAGCAGCCCAGCAATGCAAGCCCTTCTCCTTAGGAAGTATCCACTCCTGCTGCCCCCACCCATTCCCAGGTGTTTGTTTTGGTCACTGGTGGGGATGCTGCATACACACACTGTGCATGCCCAGCTAGTGTAACTGCTGTTGTTCACATAGTCGTGGTGACAGGGAAGCAGAGGGCAGACTCCTCAATCTCTTGTAAGGTTTTTTTGTTCTTCTGACTGCAATTTTTGTGTTTCAGCCATAAATAATTTGTCTGGGTGTTTTGGAACCAGGGACTTTTTAAGTGTTAGTGATAATGTGTATTAAAGTTACCTGTAGATAATCGGATTTTAGAGCAGACTAAGAGTTGTCTGAGCAGAAAGGCAGGAGGGAATGGTGTCTTTTCCTAGACCACTGTCACCATTTTGCCTTGCTGGTGAAAGTTGATTGTACAGAAAAAAAAGCAATTTCTTTTTTTCTGTTGGGTCTCATGCTGTTCCTCTCAGCATTATGCCTGACCCTAGATCAGGCCCAGTCTGGATCGAAGGTTTCAAAGCAAGTCCTTGCTTTGTACCTTTTACTCTCAGACATAAGGTCAAAATTACAAAGCTCAAGCTAATGCATCTGTTCTTTCTCTGACTGTGTCTGCTCCCTGCTGTCACCCTGTGTCAGGTTTATTTCTGGTCAGAGTGAATGTTCTGGGAGAGGAGCAACTGTTGCTGGGCTCTTTTGGGAATAGCCCCACTCCAAATCAAGCCTAGGAGAACACTTCTTTCCTTGCAATTCACAGTCAAGCCCCTGGCCTATTGTCCATGCTGTTCTCAGTTGACAATTCCATTTCCTCCCGCAGTCTGGCAAGTTCTCCAGCAGCTCCCCGCCCTGCCAAAGCCAGCCCCAGGGCCTGCAGTACGCCGAGGATGCTGCCGAGCACGAGAACATGAAGGCTGTGCTGAAGACCTGCTCCGCGGGGGGGGACAGCACCATGGCCCTGGGCGTGCGCACTCGGAGCCGCGCCAGCCGAGGTGAGCGCCACTTTTCCTCTTGGGCACCTCTCCTGGGCTGTGGGAGCTGCACCGTGGCCCAGACGTGGGTCGTGTTCCTTGGGTAGCACTCACGGCTGTAAAGGTGGAAGGGGAAGGAGAACATCCCAGTGGTGTTTTCATGATAGAATTGATTTGAGGCAAGGGGATGAAGAAGAATTTTCCTGACATTTCAAAACAATTTTCCTGATGTTTCACAGCCAGAGTAGGGATATCAGGAGTCTAAGCCTGCAGAAAATTTCACTTCTCCCTGCATGATGATGGTGACTGTCCACTAACACACCAATTCTCATTCTCATCATGAAAGCAAAATGGGCCGTCTGGAGGATCCAGGATGCGGTTTTCTCTTTGTTTTCAATAGAAGCAAGTAGAAAGCAGCAATTCAAATTCAAGTTAAAAGACCTTGCAGCATTTTATGAATGACTGGGGAGAAAATGGGGAGAAAACAGGTAGAAAAAGATGATGTGTCTTTTGACCACCTCCCTGCTAAACTGCAAAGGTAATGGGTACTTGCATTTGTGCTCCCCTCATCACTCCCATAGTTGCAATACATGGAAGATGGTTTTGGAGTAAAGATGATGCACCAAAATTCAAGTCTTCATTTTCTTACCTGGTATTTCTTCTCCTTCATATCTGGATATCTTACACTTTCTTGATACCTTTTTTTTGATACAACTTTTGCACATCTACAGCATCCAACTCTAAGTCTGTGTATGTGTAGCTTATTAAGGCTTAAAACCATGGTCCTGGCTAATTCAGAGGTTTTACAGCCCCAGTGTCAGAAGCCAGTCAGCTAAGTAAAGCATGAAGATTAACTAATTCGAGCTGCACTGCAACAAGCTGAACAGCTGAAGTAATCCACTGAATGCTGATGAGGGAGCTTGTGTGACTGTGAGAGTCAGCTTGTGTTCCCCAGAAAAACAGCAGAGGCAGAAGATGGATGAGCCAGACAAGAGCTTCTCAGAAGCATTGTTATAGTAGAACTGCTCCTGTAAAAGCAAGGAGATGAACGAGCTGAGTAAAGGCTTAATCAAAGCTGTTCATGGACTTCAGAGTTATGGTATAAAATGGCCTTGTTGGTGATTGCTTAGCTGCTTGCAATTGTACCACATCCACTTCTGCAAAGCTCACTGTCAATATTCACACTGCACACTAGCCTTCAAGTAATTTAAAAATAAAATGCACACAGAACAGTTGCCAGTAGTGAAGGAGCCCAGAGATGTGTTACACAATGGTCTGTGGGGTGAGGAGTGCCAGAGCCTTGGATTTGGAAATATGGCTCACTTGTTTGTTTGTGGTTTTAACCAAAACTGCTTTCAGCTTTTCAGCTTGCCTACAACTCTTCCACTCACAACAGGGCACACACAGTTACACCAGGACATGTGCATCTCTGTGATAAGAAGGTGAATTCTTCATTGTGAGGGGAACAATACATGTCAAACCACACTTTATGCCCTTTTCTTGTCTCCTTTGCACTAGGTTGTGATACAGATGCTCAGAAATTGTTATGTCTTTCTTTCAGTACCAAAGGACCTGTGTTTCTGATTTGCATCAATCTCTAAGATGTGCCATGTCTTCTGCTGTCTTTGTAATAGGAGCAGAGAGAAACATGGTCACATTACACTATCCATCCTTGCCTTATAGGCAGCCTCTAGCAGGCATTTGCCAGTTGTGTGCTCAACAGCAAGACACTACGGCTTAAAGGAATAGAAAGTGTGTATATTAATATGCATAATAATTGTGTTTGAGCTCTTGACTCTCTCCTGGTGCAGCAGAGAGTCTAGGCTATTATTTAGAAATATTCTCCATTAGGCAGATTCTTCTTTTTTGGTCGAGTTGAAGTCAGGATGACTGAGCTGCCTGCTGTAATTTCCAAAAAAAACCAACTGCAAAACCAAAGTGACGCAAGAGACTTCCTCTCTTCCCTGAATCACCTGCTGGACTTTTCCAGGCCGTATCGGTTCGTGGAACGCTGGCAATGACGACTCGCCGAACGCGACGGATGACGCCGCGGATGAGATCATGGATCGCATCGTCAAGTCCGCCACCCAAGTGCCAAGCCAGCGAGCGGTGCCTAGAGAGAGGAAGCGGTCACGAGCAAATAGGAAGTCATGTGAGTATAAGGCTATTGAATTGCTCAAAGCAAGGGAATGTGCAAATATTTATGTATATCGGTAGGAACCAGGCCTTGGGTAGGCAGACATGCATTGGGAGTGGCTTGAGTGTGTGCTGATGATTGGCTTATGTTCCTCTTACTATTGTTTAATCAGTGTGGTATGCAGTGGGTGACTCTGTCTTCTACAGAACTTGAAATGTCCTTAGCAGAGTAAGAAGAATGGTTTATGGTGATTTATGACAGTGCTTATGCATAACTAGAGAGTTCAGATCAGGACCTCAGATGGAGACTGCTTAAAATGCTGTAACCTACCATGAACTGGCATAAAGATTAATAGTTGTGTCTGTAGCTGAACTTATTCATAAAGCAAAAAATAGTCTGAGATATTTCACCTTTTAAAATCTTTCTCTCTCGTGCTGTATGCTATCTTTCCGCAGCCCTGAAAACAAAATGTCTACTGCTGCTTGGCTGCAAAGTGGTTATAGAGGAGTTTAACTTCCACTGGGAAGAAAAGGTAGCACATTTATAAGGTGGTCTTTCAATGGTGTAGTGTGGCCTTGGGAATGAGCTGCGACACTCAAGTTTGAGGAGTTTGGTTTCATGGTTTAGTAAATCCAGTATTTAAGAGGTGATAAAACTTTCTGGGTTTCTTTTTTTTTCCTAATGTGCAGAAACTAGTGCAAATACTATGAGAAGGATAACTACGCAAAGACCATAAGATTTTAGTGTTTTAAGTCATTAACCATATGTGGCTTTTTGACTACCTTTCCATCCATTTTTTTAGCATTTCTGGGAAGTTAGGACAAAGAGGAGACAACAACAGTGAGTGAAAAATGACACAGATTTTCTTTCTTGTGGAGTTGTTCTAACATAATGGGTGATCAAAAACATTTGGTATTTGCTATAAATTAGCATGTGCTGAAAGCATATTCACTTTCCCCAACATGCTAAAAAAGGAACTTATGCATGTGGCAATAGCAGAGGCAAAGTGGACACTCTGCTTAGATGAGCCAGTCTCTAAACAAAGAAAATGAGCTGACACTGGACTGTCTGTCTTACCTTCTGTCATACACCGTGCCTTACCTCTTTCTGGCATCACCTGCTGCTACCCACTTCCCCACAGAGTTCTGGCATTCTGCACGTGCTGACTGCTGCAGTTGGCTTGTGCAAATCAAATAAATCTCCTGTATGTTTGCCTATTTCCATGCTTTATCCCTATTTCTGTGGTTTATCCCATATTAAAGTATCTCTGCTTTTGGCAACACTGTCTTCATACATACATATACCAAAACCTCTTATTCCTAATTTTTGCCAGATACCTTTTTTCCCTAGGAAGCACTTGCTGCAGAAACAACAAAACAGGATAATGATAATAAAAATACTATATTATTTTCCAACTGAACTGTCTTTTATACTCAGTAAAAGCATTAAAGTATTAAAAAAGGATTAAACATTCAGTAAATGTTTAGGCTGGGACTGATTTCCATTGTAATTAATCATGATAGAATCCAGTTCTTGTGCTTGTTTGTTCTTCAAGATCTGGATGAGACTCTTAAGTGGATTAAAAGACAGTTTCAAAACAAACATAAAGTTCAGTAGTTTAATGTCTCTTTTAGCTGACATGTGCAGAAGCATGGAAGGAGAATATCCTAACTGAACTGTTTCACTCTGAGAGATAGTCAATATACTTGGATGATGAATTAATTAAGTAGTTTAAAATGCACTCAGCTGGACTGATAATATGACATCTCCAGGAAATGAAGAGATATCAACCCTTGCTAATGCATGATGTGAGTTAAATGAGCAGAAGATAGTCCAGTTAGAAACACATAAACATGTAAGAAAGTAGATTTTTAGGCATATCTCAATGATTTAGATTAGCAGACACTATGATATTTATTACCTGTAGAGCAAAGAGACCCTATTATCTGATAGATTTGATTCATCACCTTCAATCTTCAGACATCTTTTGGCTTTTGCCGTGAGCTTGGTATTCAATCTTTTCAGAAACATCAAAGAGAAACTCACTTGAAAGGAATTATTTTCCCTGTACATCATGTTGCATATGTCTCATTGCCTTCAGTGCACAACTGGAAAACTTGTCAGGCTTACTTAGCATTCAGCAAAGATTTTAGTGAGCATGAACTGAGACACATGGTTTCTAGCAAAATCAGAAACCCAAAATATTTATATGCAGTTGCACTATAAACGTTTGCTGTGGTTCCAGCAGAAGGTTCTCATGGGCAAGGGATTTTTTCCCATCAAAAAGACAGTGAAATGTGAAGTAAAAAAAAGAAAAAAAAAACCCCATACTAATTAATCAAGTCCTTTATAGCTAGGGGAAAGCGGAAATAGGTTTATGGAAAATGTTATGTTAAATTCATATTAAATTGTTGCAATGGGAAAATGAGACATCTTGATATGTTCATTTGAAGCATTTTACATTTTGTGTTTGTTGACCAGTGTGACTGGTATGGAGAGAGCTTGGTTAGGGGATAATGATGTAGAGGAGTTTGAAAGCTCAGGGTAATCATCAAAATTATTAAATTTGAGGAGGAATAAGGCAGGGAGTCACCCAACAAAAGACAGATGAAAATGTCTGTATGTGTTGGTTGAAGACAGAAAGGGTCACTGATAAATCAAGATATGACTAATAGGAAGGAATTTGTTCAGTGGGAGCTGAAGTGAATTACAGAAATCTAAGGTACATGATAAGTGCATAACAACTGAGTTCCTGTGATGATCTGGAGAGATTCTGTGCTAGACCTTTACACAGTGGAAGATTTTCAGGATAAAATTTGTCATTTAGAAGTACACTAATGAACTGGAAGTCACTGCCTTATGACAGGTGTTTAGTGACCTGCCTACCAGATACACTAGATTGGCATTATATCTCAGAAAATAACATTGCAGTTGTATTTGTTCATCAGAAAGGCACGGGATTGAATGAGCCACAGGAACTGAAATGCTCTGTCATCCCCTCAAGGTAATTGTTAAAAGACAGATTCAAAGGAATATGCCATGGGAAGATTCTGCTGTGGGTTTTTTTTTTTTTCTCTTATATTTATATTCTGTGCGTAAAAAAATAGGCTCCAGCCACCTGAGATGTCAGTTCAGCATGTTTTAAAAGCATAAAAATTAAGTTGAAAATATATTGTTTCTGTTCTTGCAGTCTGAGGGCAGCTTCCTGTGAGAAGGTTTTCTATAACATTATAGGGACATGTTCAACTTAGTAATGAAATAAAGATAATATAATTAGGATTGTCTGGTTCTCTGGTGAGTTTAGGAAAGCCTTCGCAAATGGTGCCATAACAATGAATGCAAGTTTAGGAATCACTCTAGTTGATATTCCAAATTTCATAAAGACTAGCAGTATCATCCTTAGGATACAATGTTTTACTTAGATACATTTAATTAAAGAGCCTCCCCAAAGCTCCATAATAGCAAATAGGAAGATACTACTATTTTCTTACTTGTCCATGCTGTCTATTTAAATATAGCTCCCTTAAAGGAAAATCAGTCTCCTCAGGATTAGGCCCTTGCTGTAGTGCCATCTGTGTGTTGGTCTCATTGAACTGGATGGATCTGTCTCAGAAGAATAATACAATTCCTATGAGTCAGCATGAGGAAAAATCACTCCAGTTTATTAGACATGAATAAGCATATGGAAGATATTTGCACTACTTCTAGCCTATGCTGGGCAACACTTAGAAATGGAAAATGCTTAGAGATTGTGAGCAACATTTGTGAATTCCTTAGAAATAAATAGCCAAACAGGACTATTTATTTCAAAGGAAATAGCTCTGTTTGGATCCAGATCTTCATCTGACCCTGGATGATGAACTATAGTGTAGGGCCTGGGTGTGAATGGCATTTGATGATGAGGAGCACACTGATGGCTTTATCAGATGCTGCTGGAGACACCGCATGGGGATGGCACAGAGTGAGAGGCTTGTTTCCCCTCACATTGTTATAACTCAGAGTGTCTCTGTCTGTGTGCACATACTTCTATTACTCTTAGATTTCATTCAAATCTAAAATCTGCTTAAGATTTGAGTTAGAAAAGAGGGTTTGGAATGCATAATAATTGAATCACAATTTAATATAATATTTATGTGAGATAACATGATCAAACTGCTTTATGATGTTTAAAAGAAAGAGAGACATGATAGTGCCTTGTTCTTTTATCAGGCTTTGAAATCATGTGCCAGCCTAATAATGACAAACCTTAGAGATATGGAAACATCTCATAAGGATTTATTATTTATTTGTGTAATGGCTTGCAGGGAGTAGCAAATACTTACAAATCATGATGCAGAAATGGGTCTGAGGTGCCACTCAAGTAGGTGCACATAGGAATTGTGTCAAGTTTACCTGAATCCTGGACAAGTAAACTCAGGGCTGGGGGATTAAATTTAACTACAGAACATCCTAGGTCAGGCTATTTATACTGTAAAAGTGAAATAGGAATCAGCCTGGTGCCATCAGGTGCTGAAATGTGGGAAAGAGCTGTGCCAAAGGACCAGGCATGGAGGCCAGCTTTAGACAAGTTTTAGTACCACATGCAGTGTTGCTTTGGAATAAACATGTTGTAAGCAAACAAAGTACTACATGGGACACTATTTGAATCCAAAGGTGCATATTTTTTGTTGAGCATTCATAGGGTGCATTATTTAACTTTTTCTTCATATTTTCTTTGTTATTTTCATGATTTTTCAGATTCATGTCTCTTCACTTACTTTTTCTGGCTTTGAAAATGTACAGAAGTGCCAAAATACCAGGAGGGAGACTGTTCTTCTGGTATTTATAGCCTGACCAAAAGCAGGAGTTAATGGAAATTATACTTTAAAAAAAATGAAAACCTTGCAAGAAGAAAGACTGTATAAAATGCTTTAAAGGCAAACAACATCACTTTGAATTTGCAATTAATTATTTAGGATTTGAGTAGCTGGATCCTATCAGGAGTTAGACTATGGAGCAGAGTAATCTAGTTAGTG